GCGGTAGCAACTCCAGCCAATGACGGGATGTTGGTAGCGATGATGTCAGCAACACTGGCCAGAGTTGGGAAAACGACGCAACAATCCGAAGCAGTGGGAGGAGGAAGAGGAGGAGCACTTTCATCTGAGGAGGAGGAGACAGTGACATCATCAGCAGACATCAGTTGATAGGGCAAGACACCTGTCAATCAAACAGACATCTGTCCACCTGCAATTCCTCTGATGTCCACCAGGGGGTTTGACTGCTCTCCACTAATACAGACTTTCACAGTAAGAGCCTTAGTATTATCACTAAGGAGACTTTCAGAATAAAAGCTCCATTAAGAAGATATTATGTGATAGCAGACAGTGATGTGACATAATGACACTCACACTCAACACAAACATGATGCAGACTGATGGATGATCTTTCTACATTGATGTTAAAATCAAAGAAATATGTTAAACATCTGGATCATCTGAAACATAAGGAAGTGACATTAATACTTCATGTGTTTAACGTGACCAACCATTAATTATCAATTCAAAATCTATTATTACTCGTCAGGCTGGTTCTGAGACAAAACAGCGACTGATGTTGATGCTATGGTTTCATGGGGGGGGGGGGGGGGGGGGGGGGGGGGGGGGGGTGACTCATCTGCTGACTGTCAATTCTTGACATTGTGCACATTCACCTGTGATCATTTCATCAGTCAGACTGGTTTCAGACAATTACAGGTTTTAATCTTTGGAACAAACCGGTTCCACGGTTCTGTATCACATCAACACTTCTAACAACAAACAGACAGAACAGCTGCTTCTCAGTCAGGCTTCACATATTATTACTATTATTATTATCTAATGGATTCACTGACATGGATCAGCAGCAGGTGAAGGGGGCCAGTGAGGAAATGTTGGAGCTGAATAAATGAGAATACATACATGTTCTGTTCAGGAGACATGTCACACGACTGACACACTAACTAACACCGATACAACACCGACACAACACTGATGTGTGTCAGTGTTATGTTAGTGTTGTGTCCGTGTTGTGTCAGTGTTAGTGTGTCAGTGTTGTGTCAGTGTTGTGTTAGTGTAGTGTTAGTGTTGTGTTAGTGTTGTGTCAGTGTTGTGTCAGTGTTGTGTCAGTGTTAGTGTGTCAGTGTTGTGTCAGTGTTGTGTTAGTGTTGTGTCAGTGTTGTGTCAGTGTTGTGTCAGTGTTATGTTAGTGTTGTGTCAGTGTTGTGTCAGTGTTGTGTCAGTGTTGTGTCAGTGTTGTGTCAGTGTTGTGTTAGTGTTGTGTCAATGTTGTGTTAGTGTTGTGTCAGTGTTGTGTCAGTGTTGTGTCAGTGTTGTGTTAGTGTTGTGTCAGTGTTGTGTCAGTGTTGTGTCAGTGTTAGTGTGTCAGTGTTGTGTCAGTGTTGTGTTAGTGTTGTGTCAGTGTTGTGTTAGTGTTGTGTCAGTGTTGTGTCAGTGTTAGTGTGTCAGTGATGTGTCAGTGTTGTGTTAGTGTTGTTGTAGTGGTGTTGTGTTAGTGTTGTGTCAGTGTTGTGTCAGTGTTGTGTCAGTGTTAGTGTGTCAGTGATGTGTCAGTGTTGTGTCAGTGTTGTGTCAGTGTTGTGTTAGTGTTGTGTCAGTGTTGTGTTAGTGTTGTGTCAGTGTTGTGTTAGTGTTAGTGTGTCAGCGTTGTTTCAGTGTTGTATTAGTGTTGTGTCAGTGTTGTGTCTGTGTTGTGTCTGTTGTGTTAGTGTTGTGTCAGTGTTGTGTCAGTGTTGTGTCAGTGTTGTGTCAGTGATGCAACATTTCGAAAACAACACAACAAACCAGTTTAAACTTTTTCACTTCATTTTCCTGCAGAAACTGTTTTTCATTTTTCCGTGTTGGTGACACTAGAATCAGCTGTTGATGACATCAGCAGTGACAAGAAATGCCACTGATGTCACTGTGTGTGTGTGTGTGTGTGTGTGTGTGTGTGTGTGTGTGTGTGTGTGTGTGTGTGTGTGTGTGTGTACCTGTGCTCAGGTGAACTTCATTAGAAAAAAATGGTTGTAGATTCTCATCAATCACATCTCTGAAACACAAAAAATAAAGTATTCAAGATTTTATCAAAAGAAACCTTGATTACACTTTCAGTTTTAGTGTTTGTTCTACAGATTTAAAGGTAAACTTACCTGTCCAAAGAGGAGGCGGAGCTCTGACTGTCCCTCATGTAACGAGCTCGAGGTTTTGGGACGGGAGGAGGAGGAGTCATCCTGAGGACAGGAGAAGACATTTAATGGATCAGTTACCTGTCAGGAAGCATCATCATCTCCTAGCAACTAAATATCCTTAAAATATCTGCGTGCAGGTCAGAGACTGAAGGTAAAAAGGTGAAAGCAGGTAAAGAAGGAAAAGGCTGCTATTTCTGACGTGTCACTTTAAATAACCAATCACTGATGATGCGGCAGTGATCGATCAGCTCCTCTGACCCATTACAACACACGACTGCACAAAGATCTGTCCTACTCTGGTTTACCTGAGATCAGAATCAGACTGATTATAGATCAGAGTGAACAGATGTTTCACATCAAATGACAGAACCTCAAAACAGAACCTCAACACAGAACCATAAGAATCAAACCAACACTCACTGTTCAACACAGAACTTCAACACAACTTTAACACAAAACCTAAACACAGAACCATAGCACAGAACCTTAACACAGAACCTCAACACAGAACCTTAACAAAGAACCATAACACAGAACCATAAGAATCAAACCAACAGTCTCACTGTTCAACACAGAACCTCAACACAACTTTAACACAGAACCTTAACACAGAACCATAACATAGAACCATAACACAGAACCATAAGAATCAAACCAACAGTCTCACTGTTCAACACAGAACCTCAACACAGAACCATAGCACAGAACCTTAACACAGAACCTCAACACAGAACCATAACAAGAATTTGTCTTACCTTGTTGTCAACACCTCACTGTCGAACGAACAGCTGCTGGTTACCTGTCTGTCTGTCTGCTACCTGTCAGTTACCTGTCTGTGAGCTACAGAGTGACAGTGTCTGTCTGATGACGCTCTCTGAGTCTCTGTCTGTTTCTGGTTCACATGTTGAACGTCCTGTTTCTGATCTACCTGCACTCATAAACACGTCACTGTTAAATATACTCTGTGTGTGTGTGTGTGTGTGTGTGTGTGTGTGTGTGTGTGCGTGTGTGTGTGTGTGTGTGTGCGTGTGTGTGTGTGTCTGTCTTCTGACGACTGTGTGTTTACATGTCCAGGTGAATGTGTCACAGAAACTTGTTTCTGTGTTACAACATGACACAGTTCAACTGTTTTAAGCTGCAAGTTTTTACAGTGAACTCAGTGAAGTCTCACTGGTTCAACCTGCTGCAGGAATGTAGGTGTGTGTGTGTGTGTGTGTTTGTGTGTGTGTGTGTGTGTGTGTGTGTAGCTGAACTTTAACATGCTGAAGTTGTCCATCAGTTTCTGTCATTTGTATTTAAATCAAATCAGAGGTGAAGCATCAGGTGAAGCGTCAGGTGAAGCCACAGGTGCTCCATGTGTTTCACCTGCTGTGAATCCTGCATGAAGACTGATCAGAGAACAGTCATGTCATCGGTTCAAACGCAGACCTGGATGTTTGTTTTATTGACAGCAGATTCATTGACACAACATTCACAGAGAGAGGGCTCACCTGGGCTCACCTGGGTTCCTGTGGTTCCTCTGGTTCCTGAGAACATAAAGCCTTCAGAGCTCAGACTCTTGTTTTCATACATTCACAAACAGATGCATTATGGGACTTTCCACAGCAGCTGAATGAGTCTCTGCAGTGATTGCTACAAACCAATAGGTGTCACTATCTCATCTACACATTCACACACCTGCAGCTGCAGGTGAGTCAGGATGTCACATGTTAACACAGTTTACCTGCGACCCCCCCTGCTGTTAGTGTGATGGTTCACTCCTGTAGATCTGCCGCAGGTGTTCTCACCTGCAGAACGGCTGAGGTTTATTCACCTGTCAGGAGGTTGACAGGTTCCTGTGAGGTGATGGTTTCCAGGTCTGGACTCAGTCTGGACTCTGAGGACCAGGACCAGGACCCTGTTCCATTGAGACAGAAAACTCCTCACTAATATAAGTCAGTAACCATGGTAACTGATACAACTTACCTCTGTCACTGTCAGGTTTAACTGAGCTGTGTTTACAAAGAGGAGCTGTCCCTCACCTGTCCCTCACCTGTCCCTCACCTGTCCCTCACCTCTCTCCCTCTTCTATAGGTGGAAACAAAAAGGAACTCTAATTATACTGAATTATGAATAAAACCCCCCACTGATATTTTATTGATATTTTATTGATATCAGAAAGATAGTCTTTGATCAGTTGGCTTTTTAGAGCCTCAGACTGACGCTGGTAATGATCTTTAACTGATTTATTACTGATTGATTAATGATCAGTCTGTCTGCTTATACTAATGTCTCTCTACTTCTGTCTCTCTCTCTCTCTCTCTCTCACATACCACTTTATTTAATCAGCATCACTGCAAAACACATACACACACACACACACACACCTACACACACACCTACACATACACACACACACACACACACACACACACACTGGTAAAACGAGTGGAAAACTCATCAAAAAGACCTTTTCACTGTGTGTGTGTGTGTGTGTGTGTGGGTGTGTGTGTGTGTTGGACTTGGTTCACTTCCTGTCAGAGGGGGGAGGGGGGTGACAGAGAGACAGATTGAAAACAGACGTTGGCTCTCTCCATGTGTCTCTCTCACTCTCTCTACACTGTGAGTCAAAGTCTCTCGCCCTTTTTCTTCCCTCTGCTGCAGACTCTCCTCTCTCTCTCCACTGTGAGTCAATGTCTCTCTCTCCCTCTCTCTCCCACTGTGAGTCAGTCTGTTGGTTTCCATTCGTCGTGTGTCTGGAATGAAGAGGAGAGAAGGAGAGCAGAGAGGAAAACACTAAAGGAGAAGAAGAAGGAGAAGAAGAAGAAGAAGAAGAAGAAGAGGAGGAGGAGGAAGAAAAGAAACATCAGCAGGTTTGAACAAACTAAACGTCTTTTCTTTATTTCAGTCTGTAACTTGGTCTCCGTAGCAACGAGTGTCTGACCAGATTCTGCTGATTCAACTTGTTTTACTGCAGTTAAACTCCCAGTACTACAGTGTACTAGTACTTCAGTGTACAAGTACTACTGTGTACTTGACTGTGACGGAAGTCCTGGGGTCACTTACCTTCATGTGTGATCAGCTGATTAGAGTCTGATCCAGATCCAGGTTTTAACAAACCAGATCAGCTGATGTGAGTCTGTTCACACTGAGTGAATATAAAAATCCATCATCAATGGATTCAACGATTCACCATGGCAACGAGTTTAAAGAGCAGAGCCTCCATTTTGATCCAGTGGAGCCAGAAAGATTCATGTGAGACATTAAAGAATATCAGACTTTTATTTTCTTAATGTAAAGAGCTGGAATCTCTGTTTCTTAGATTAACTGTTAAAATATATTTATTCAACTATGACCTGATCGATACAAAGATCAATAAAATATAGATGAAACGGACAGAAGATTATAGATGTAGATGAAACAGATCAGACAGAATAGTATAGATTTTAACCTCAGATTCTGACTCAGGAACAGCTTCATGATTTTGGAGGTTAAAGCTGATTGTGAGTTTTCAGTTGTCAACATTTATAAATCACCAGCGTCAGTGTTTGAACATGTAGTTAATTCATATACAGTAACCGAAATGCTGTTAAACAGGTTCAGTCTACACTTTAAACTACATTCAGTCCAGGTTTCAAATGTTAGTCTCAGTCTGAAATAAACTGGCGGCCATCACAACACGAGATATGATTCTCATCCAGAGCAGAGGAGCTGACTGACACCTGTCTCTGCTGATCAATCATGACGTCTCATCTCGTCTCGTCTCATCTCGTCTCATCTCGTCTCATCTCATCTCGTCTCGTCTCATCTCGTCTCACCTCGTCTCGTCTCATCTCGTCTCGTCTCATCTTGTCTCCTCTCATCTTGTCTCCTCCCATCTTGTCTTGTCTTGTCTCATCTCGTCTCACCTCGTCTCGTCTCATCTTGTCTCGTCTCATCTTGTCTCGTCTCGTCTCCTCTCATCTTGTCTCGTCTCGTCTTGTCTCATCTCGTCTCACCTCGTCTCCTCTCATCTTGTCTCCTCCCATCTTGTCTCGTCTTATCTCATTGTTGTTGAATGTCTCTGCTGTGACTCGGTGTGAATGAGGACATAAAGTCGTGTCAGAAGCTTCTTTAATCAAAGCAAGAGGAGAGACGGACACAAAACCTGCTAAGTTACTATGGTAACTGACTCAGACTTAGTGATCTTCCTGGAACAGACCCCAGCTGATCAATTTGTTGATCAGTTTGTTGATTTGTTGATTGTTGATTTGTTTGTTTGTTTGTTTGTTTGTTGATGCCATGTAAAGACACAGACACTGAACTGCGGTTAGTTTGTGATTCTGTCTCTGTCTGAAGGTCAAAGATCACTGACATCAGCGTGGGACTGACAGCTGTCAATCATCAGATCTGAACCAATCAGGAGACAGAAAACAACCGTCGCCATGGAGGATTGACAACCAGGTGAGACACCTGCTGATCAGGTGAGGATGAGGAGTGCCGTGAGCGGAAATCCTGCACACACACACACACACACACACACACACACAGAGAGACACACACACACACACACACACACAGAGAGACACACACACACACACACACACACAGAGAGACACACACACACACACACACACACAGAGAGACACACACACACACACACACACACAGAGAGACACACACACACACACACACACACAGAGAGACACACACACACACACACACACACAGAGAGACACACACACACACACACACACACAGAGAGACACACACACACACACACACACACAGAGAGACACACACACACACACACACACACAGAGAGACACACACACACACACACACACACAGAGAGACACACACACACACACACACACACAGAGAGACACACACACACACACACACACACAGAGAGACACACACACACACACACACACACACAGAGGAGACAGAGACATAGAGTCAGTCTGTCAGATCACTACAGTGATTATTAGGTTAAATTATTTGGGGGTCAACAGGGAACATGTCACGTCTGTGAACTGCTGACCAACCTGTGATGTCAGCAGATACATCACAACATGGCAGCAGATCAGTGACATCATCAGTGACATCACTATGTCCTGCAGGACTGACTGAAGAACAGCAGAGAGTAGCTGAGCTGTGATTGGCTGAAACTGTCGTCCTCACTGCTGCCCACAGGAAATACTTGACTGTTTATTTTTCTTCTTCAGTGGTCGATTCACATTCCTCTCTCACACACCGTCAACAAGGCCTGTGATTGGCCGAGATCTCCAGGGACAAATTCTGTGTCACGCCAGACTTATACACAGGACGCAGATGCAGGGTATCAGAGTCTTTATTAGTAATTCAGGCTTCTAAATACCAAGGCAGAGAAACAAAAACAGGCTATGAAATATTATCTATAACGTGCTTCTTCGAGAAGAAGCAGGGTAAATCAATACAAAAATAATAATCACTCCAATACGGGAGGAAAAAAGACTACATATAAAAAACAGAAAATCACTCTAGAATCAGAGGAAAAAGGAACCAAAAATAGAAACAACAAAAACTCTCCTATAACTGGAGGTACTATGATATAAAAGGTAAGTAAATAAAAATCACTCCTCACGGAGGAAACAAAAGGCTATGCAAACATAAACTAGGGAGATCTACTAAGATATAAAACTTACAACAAAAAATCTCTCACTTGGAGGAAACCGACAAGAACTGTGGCAATGACTGTGATCCAAAACTGTGAAGACGGCTGGGGTGAACGCACATGAACCAAGACGAACACACTGGCACAAGACAAGGGGAGACACGGACTATTTGAACACATGAGGGTAATGAGGAGCAGGTGGACACAATCGGGAATCAGGGAAGACAATCAGACCGGTGACACATGAGGAAGGGCAAGTGACCTGAAACGAGAGGAGAGTTACTTCTTTCAAAATAAAACAGGAAATGACAAGACAAAAAAAAACCCAAGACAAGACAACCCCACCACGGTGTGACATTCTGATTGGACGACAGGACTCAAACTTCTTTCTCTCTAAAAGAAGAAGAAAGAAATTCCAAAATCCCCCAGTGAAAACACACACACACACACACACACACACACACACACACACACACACACACACACACACACAGAAGAGTGTGTGTTCAGGTCTGTTTGAACCATCACAGTTCAGAATGATTTAACAGACGTCGAGTGTTTAACTGACTCCAGACTTCACTGCGTCTGCTGCAGTAAAAGTACTAACACCACAGTGTACAAGTACTCTGATCTCTATTCTGAAGTATTAATATCAGAATATACTAAAGTACCAAAAGTAAAAGTATTTATTATTGCGTTAAAACCCTGTCTGTAAGTCTCTGTCCCTCCGACTATTAATACACAGTAAAATAACATGGAAATACTCAACTACAGTACAAGTACAATACTTGAGTAAATGTATTCAAGTACTTTCGACCACTTTTTTAACAACTTTTTCAACAGCAGTGTCAGACTTTTATTTTGAAGACTCTCCACTCTAGTTAGACAACAGCAGTCAGACTTTTAATTTGAAATCTCTCCTCTCTGTGTTTGTGTAGGTCAGGATCAGATGCAATCATGGCGTACATCAAATGGCAAACAGGAAGTCTAAACCTGCTGCACTTCCTGTTAGGTAGGTAACAAACAAATAAAACATCAGTACGGTTTTATAGGTCGACTCATACCTGTCTGTCTGTCTGTCTGTCTGTCTGTCTGTCTGCAGGTGTGTTCCTGGTTTGCCCTGAAGGGGGTGTCGGTCTGGAGCTGATGCCGTCAGCCTCCAAAGTTTTACTGAACTCCACCTCCAGCTTCACTGTGGTGAGTAACACCTGTCTGTCTCCTCAGGTATGTTCAGGTCTTTTTCTTCAGGTGTGCTCAGGTATCTGTATGTCTCCCTCCTCAGGTGTGTTCGGGGTGGAGTCAGGTGACGTGGCGGGTACCTCAGGACTCTCAGGTAGACGGGGTTGTGGTGGAGAATCGGGGTTCCAGCAGCGTCCTGCAGCTCTTTAATGTCACCTGGAGGAATTCTGGGCGATACACCTGTGAGGAGGGGTCGTCCTATCAGAGCAGAGAGATTGACATCTTCATACCTGGAAAAGGTGACAATATATATCATATATGGCTGTGTGTCTGTCCCTCCTGTGAGACCTGTCTGTCCTGATGCGTCCGTCCCACTTGCCCCCCCCCAGGTCCGGATGAATGGTTTGTCCCACTGGGTCCAGGTGTGGTGATGAAGGAGGCGGAGGAAGACACCATCCCCTGCGTGGTGTCCGACCCGCGGCTCAACGTCTCGCTGTATGAACGTCCTGGCTGGACACTGGTTACCGGGACGACATATGAGCCGGGCCGTGGCTTCACAGGTCGTCTCAACGACACGTCATACGTGTGCTTGGCCGCCCTCGGAGGAGAGGAGAGGGAGTCCCAGGTGTACTACGTCTTCAGCATCGTAGGTGAGTTGATGAGATTAGGTTAGATCAGACTCTAGACTAGATTAGATTCAATTACACTAGATTCAATTAGACTAGATTAGACTAGATTAGACTAGATTTAATTGGACTAGTTTAGACTAGACTACTTTATGTTAGATTAGAGTGGATTCAACTAGAAATGATTATTAGAATGGTGGTGGTTATTTTCTATTAATTAGATCAGATTAGAATTAAATTAATTCATGACATTAGATCAAATAAAATAGATTACATTATTGTCTGTCCACCTGTCTCTCTCTCTCCACCTGTCTGTCTCTCAGTTCCTAAGGTGATGGAGGTGGACCTGACGGTGTCCAGCAGTGTGTTGAAACAGGGGGAGGTTCTCACTGTGAACTGCACTGTCAAAGACACTGAGATGGTTTTCTTCTCCTGGTACTTTCCCCGCAGACAGGTACCTGTCTGTCTGTCTGTCTGTCTGTCCGTCTGTCCGTCTGTCCGTCTGTCTGTCCGTCTTTCTGTCTGTCTGTCTGTCTGTCCGTCTGTCCGTCTGTCTTTCTGTCCGTCTGTCCGTCTGTCTGTCCGTCTTTCTGTCTGTCTGTCTGTCTTTCTGTCCGTCTGTCCGTCTGTCCGTCTGTCTGAATGTGTGTCTTTGTATTGGTTCAGGAAGTCGAGCCGCTGACAGACTTTCTGCCCAATCGGATCCGTTCCTTCGTTAACATCTCCACGGCAACAGTGGCAGATTCTGGTAGGTGACAGGATGAAGCCTGGTCCTGCAACTCCTCAGTAAAAAAAATGTTTTACAGTTGTCAGTTGCTATGGTAATGTTATTCGGGGTTTGGATGTTTTTGGGTTACCACGGTGACGGGATGAGGTTGTGTGTGTGTCGTGTGCTTCTTGTAGGTGTGTATACGTGTGTGGTGCAGGAGACCATGCAGGGACGGACTGTGATGAAAAACATCACAGTGACAGTACTGGGTCAGTACACACACACACACACACTAAAACATACACACAGGTAAATTCTCAGGTGAAGTCTCTCTGCAGATCGAGGGTATGTCTACCTGTGGCCCTCAGGTGAGACCAATGTATCGTCTCTCCTCCACCACACGGTGGAGTTCAGTGTGGAGGTCGACGCCCACCCCGCCCCCACTGTCCTCTGGACCAAAGACAACCAGACTGTTGTCACGGAAACCACCTCCGTCACCACCACACACCTAATGGGCAGCAGGTAGGTCAGAGGTCAAGGTAGAGATACGACACAGGACAAGAACAGTTTGGTTTGATTGATTGATTGATTGATTGATTGATTGATTGATTGATTGATTGATTGATTGATTGATGTGCAGGTATGTGAGCACACTGACACTGGTTCGAGTCCAGATGGATCAGACAGGAAATTACACAGCAACCGTTTCCAATGATGACGACATAGACGAGATTGTTTTCAAACTGGAGGTCAAAGGTCAGAGAGAGACACTGTGTGTGTGTGTGTGTGTATATTTACCTGTGTGTGTGTGTGTATTTACCTGTGTGTGTGTGTGTATTTACCTGTGTGTGTGTGTGTGTGTGTGTGTATATTTACCTGTGTGTGTGTGTGTGTGTGTGTGTGTGTGTGTGTTTGTGTGTGTGTATATTTACCTGTGTGTGTGTGTGTGTGTATTTATGTGTGTGTGTGTGTGTGTGTGTGTGTGTGTATGTG